AATAACAAACAAGAACACCTTGAACATATTCGTAAAGATATTCGTAAATTCAAAGATGATAATCAGCTTGATAAAGTCATTGTCGTATGGACTGCCAATACCGAACGTTTTGCTGAAATTATCCCAGGCGTGAACGATACGGTCGACAATCTTTTAAAAGCCGTTGAGAACAGCCATCCGGAAATTTCGCCATCCACAATTTTTGCTTTGGCCTGTATTCACGAAAAGACACCCTTCATTAATGGATCGCCTCAAAATACCTTTGTTCCTGGTTGCATTCAACTTGCAGAACGTGAACGCGTTTATATCGGTGGAGACGATTTTAAATCTGGGCAAACAAAAGTCAAGTCTGTTTTAGTCGACTTTTTGGTGAATGCCGGTATTAAACCAATTGGTATCACTTCTTATAATCATCTTGGTAATAATGATGGCAAGAATTTGTCTGCACCACAACAATTCCGATCCAAAGAAATTTCCAAAAGCAATGTTGTTGATGACATGGTTGCTTCTAACCAAATCCTCTATAAGTCCGGTGAACATCCCGATCACGGTATGTTTGTTAAAACGGTTTAACTAAATTGAATTTTGTTTTTAAATATCTTATGAATTATTTGTTTATAGTTGTCGTTATCAAGTATGTACCAGCAGTTGGTGATTCCAAACGAGCCCTCGATGAATACGTTTCGGAAATATTTATGGGTGGAAAGAACGTAAGCAATCATTACTTAAAATGTAACTAATATTAAAATTGTTTAACTAATTTCTAAACACTATTATTTAGACTATTTCATTGTATAACACATGTGAAGATTCTCTCTTGGCCTCTCCGCTTATTTTGGATTTGACCATTATCACCGAGTTAATGACACGTATTGAATATTGTGCTGGTGACATGAAGGAATTTGCACCTTTTGATGCAGTTTTGTCCATCTTGAGTTTCATGTTAAAAGCACCTTTAGTACCACCGGGAACCCCTGTTGTTAATGCATTGAATAAACAGCGTATGGCAATGGAAAATTTATTCCGCGCATGCATTGGATTAGCTCCTCAAAATGAAATGCTTTTGGAACATAAGGCTCCGGCTATTCGTAAATATTAGCGTCATAATCAATTTCGAATTTTCATGAAACTATAGTTAGTATTATGAATCATGGCCATCCATCAAATTTTTTTTCTTGAATCAAATTAAATCTACAATAATAAAAAAAAGTTACTTATTTAAACCATAAGGGAACGGTACAGTTTCCGTTCGAGTTTTAAAATTTTTCAAAAACGATAGTGCAGACTTATTAACATAAAGTATCGTAATATTCTCGAATCAAATAATACATGCAGAAATACTAACACAACATGTATTGATTCACATACACTATTATTTTTTATTTATGACAAGAACTCTGATCATCTGAATATAACGAAAATTTCATGCTACTCTGTTTCATCCATCAAATCTTCCTGATTCATCGAATTTTCTTGAATTTCTTTATAGCTGAAATAACAAATTTTCACATTAGAGTGCATTTGTTGCAAACTAATTGTGTAAAGTAACGCACCTAATTCTTTCCACTAGTGCCTTAATGTGACTCCAAAAACATACGATTGTCCACAATAATTACAAGGTCACCATATTCGTTGAATCGAAACATCTCTGGTCATTTGTTAGCTCTATATGGCAGCTCCACTGAAACATAAATGTTTTCGATTCTCTGTGGAAATTTTGATTTTCTTATGATTATCTGCATGCTTAGAGACCCTGGATACCCGGTAGCCCTTAGTGTTTTCAAATCATAATTCAAATCATCATGGTTGAAATCTTGATCATACTTTTCATCCTTCTCTTCTTCTGAGTTATCTTCTTTATTGGGATTTTGCTAAGATCCATTTCAAGGCACTCTTCTTTTTTCCAAGAAAATTCCTACTTGTGATCTCAATTTGGGAAATTCCCCTCTTTCTCTTTTTCATTTTTCCATATACTGAAACTTTATACATGACTTGAATACCTGCTCTTTGTTCTTAATTCATTTAATAGGTTTCCTAGAAACTGTATAGCTTGCTGATAATAATACCACAGTTTGTTTATCTTTCATAAAAGAGATCACTATGTTTGATCCTAAGAATCTATCCAGTTGAATTCCATTAAAACTGTAATAAGTTATATTATCAACATATTCAGCTATAGGAACTAATTTTAAAAGATTTGAAATTGTCATAAATCTCATTATAGGAGTTATCTATGAAGGAAGATTAAATTCTTGACTATTTTTCCATCATTTAAGTTTATTCTGAACTTTACATCCATGTTTCTGAATCATTGTCATAATAAAAATTCATTGTTAATTAATAAAATATTGTTGAGTCAGATAATATCATTAATAAAGATATTTACCAAAGTTTTCCCTCTTTTATCAAGAAAGACTTTGATACCAGAGATAAGGTAAGAATCAAGTGATGTAGTAATGTGTTGATTTTGATCTTATAATAATTTTGATTATAAGGAGAATCATTATTTTTGCTAAGCTCAATATTATTCAGTAACTGATAAGAAATGATGCAGTGTTGAAGTAGTTTTATAATGTGTTCAAATTTATGATCATAAAAAAAGAACATCTATAATTGCTATTTTTAGATTGAATTTATTTGCTCTCAAATATATATATATGTTTTCAAATAAACTGTTATATCAATACTTATGTCTATAAATTACTAATAAAGAAATTCTTATATCTCTTGATCTTTTATTATATTATTTGATTTCTGCTTTGATATCAAATTTGAACACATAATATACAGTTTAAGGTTATTTCTTGAGAATATGTCCTAAGCAGTCATAAGTTTTAGATATAATTTCTATTAGATTGATTATAGTATCAAATTTTTGCAGAATATTATCTTATAAAAGAAAGAAAAGCTTTAACATAATCTAAGCATACATGTATATATTGAGTTTTTTTCAATATTGATAACAGGAGAAATTTCATTTATAATAAACATGTAAGTGTTAGCAATAAGACAAGTAACAGGAAGATAAGTGAAATATTCAATATAGGTCTATAAAAGAATTCATTTTTTGTTTAGATCAGTACTTTCTTGGTATTTTCTATAATTTTATTTATATAGAACTTACATATTATCAAATATTAAAGTTATATAATCTATTTTGAAACAAGTATTAATTTTCTTGATAAATATCTTAATAATAAAAATATCATAATTTTTAGAATTTATGATCTTTCAGGTCTCAGAATTATTCAGATAAAGTTATACAAATAGCTATTCCTTTTGACATTAAAAATTTTTTCTTCATAAGCATCTTAAGAAGTAAGAATCTACATGAGAGTATTATCATGTAAAATGCTTTATTTTATTGATCATAATGTTCAAATTTGAGATTCATAATTTTTAATGATTTCAAGTTCTGCCTTTACGTAATTACTATATATTTTCACATTAGAAAAAAAATCAATATAGATTAATCAACATTTCATAGTAATTCTAAATATTATAGATGTTTTTTCATCACCTGAAACTTCAATGAACATAATTACTCCTAGGGTTTCATCAATATTTTTTATACAAATTTAACTGTTTTTTAGAATTGTGAATCATAATAAAAGGGATTGTAATAGTTTATTCTAGATTTATTATAAGAAGAGAGATATAAATTGATTATTTCAAAAGTTTTTTAGTTATTTCATAAGGCAAATTTATTTTAAAAAAATGGTTCTTCTTTCAATTTAATATATGAATCACTTTGTAGACCTAAAAAATCACTTTCTAATGTCTTAATACATTTAATTAAGGTAAATGTGTTAATAAGCTTATCAATTAAAAAAGTATTTATATGAAAAAAGATCTTTATAACTAAAAAAATAAGTGTAAATATAAATGAAAAATCATTTAAAGAACCAAACTTCTAGTATAATGAAATTTTTATTTTTAATTTTAATTTTATTAGAAGAGATGTACATTGACAAAACTAATGTAGTAAAATAATAAAAAGAAGTAAAATACTTAAAATTTACTAATTATCAATCATAAACTTAAACCTACAAAAAAACCATTTTTATTCAAAAGATAAATCATTAGAAGATACTTTACTAGTAATGACCAGAGATTATATGATAATATGAATTTTTCTTGCTAAAGATTTATCAATAAAATATTTGCTTCATTAAAAACATTAACTATTTCTTTAATATTAACATGTCAAAGATCCAATTTGAAAGTGTTGTTAGTAGGATTTTTAAGAATATTATATTCTTATTTCTAGATATACTTCTTAAGAAAATTGATAGTTAATGATTTTATGAGGACATTAACTTTTTAATAAAAATTTTTTGCTAAGAGAAATTGTGAAAATAGTTCTAATACTTAAGATAAAATAATTTAATAACATTTTAATTATTTCTACAATTGCGAAAATTGAGAGTTAAAATCTTCTTTTAATTCAAATTTAGTTTGGTATATAAGGAATTTTCATTAAAATTAGCTTGTATTAGAAATAAAATACTATTTGGCTAAAACATTTTATGGTTTAAGCCAAATGTTCTATAAATTATCTCAAAAAATTTTTCTTTAATATTACATATAATCTGTATTTATAGTCAACCCTTTCTAAATGTACCCCTCAGAACCATAGTGAAAATTTTAAAAAATGTGCATTTAAAGAGGGTGAGCATTTAAAGAGAAAATTTTTATATGAATTCTATATGCTTGGAACTGAACAAAAGCGTGTATTTAGAGAGAAAATATATAGTGTATGCATTTAGAGAGGGTTGACTATAGTTAAATGCAAAATTAACTTGCAATTCATCATGTAAAAATGCACATTACTACTATTCAGAAAATTACAGTAGGTCTGTATTATATAAGCAAGATATATTTACTTGCTTTACAATAAAGTACTAGTACTTTTTTTGTTCTAGATTTCTAAGCATCATAAAAAGCTTTACTAAGAGTAAATTTATTTTATGTATAATTAACAATTAATTTTTGTTGAAACAAGTAAAACTAAATTATGAATAATATTATAGTATAAATAGTTTAAACAAATGAAAAATTAGTGTGATTTACAAGCATTAGTATAGGAATACTATTTTGTACTTATAATATATAGGCAAAAATTAATGATTTTTCATGATTTTAACATATAAGACCTTTGCAATAAAAAAGGAGGAAACAGCTGAAAAAAATAAAAATTGAGTTAATGTTAAATTTGAACATATTTTGACCTAAAAATAAATTTAATATATAAAAGTAAAATTGCTATTTCTTTACTTTTTATTGCAAAAATCTCATATATATAGAGATAAGGTAGTTCAGTTTGATTAGACTTCAGTTCTATAAACTTTGTTCTAATAATATAACTAAACTAAACTGGATTCTTTAAATCAGTTCTAAATAACCAGTTTGAATTGTGTTTCTTAAACTAGTTCTAAATAACTGATTTAATATCATTTAATTAAACTTTTAAATATTGATAACATATTTAAATATTTCATCATTTAAATTAAAAAGAAAAAATACTTAACAAAGGAATTTAGAAAAGTTTTATCATATTAATATATATATATTTATTATTTAATTTTTTATGTTTTTTTTTATTAAATTTGTTATAACTAAAATAAACTACATATAAATTTGATCAAACACTATTCTCCTATTTTATTTAATATTCAACTCTTCATATAAAGATATACTCTTGCCAATTCTAGTAATAAACAATTATATATTTTAGTAATCATATTTTTTGCAACTGAAAATGCTTGCTCAGATGTGACATTAGTGACTTGAATTGAAAGATAATCTTATGCCATCTTATTTAAGATTGGGTATTCTTTTGTATGTAATTGTCATTATAAAAGAGGTTCTATTTTCTTATCAATAGGAAGTATGAAATAACAATTTAATTTTGATGATGATGATATTGAGATTGGTAATATAGAGAAATTTTTATTGATTGATTGTTAAAATTGAATAAAATATTGACGAGTATTAGTAATTGATTTAGATGAAGGTGGTAACATTATATTAGAAAATTATTTTTTATATATATCAAATATAGCTTGAATATGAATTTATGTACTTTCTCTTTGGTGATTTAAAAAAACTGAAAGTTTATTTTGAGGATCTAAAATAGCTAAAACAGTTAATGATCTATTTATTATACTTCAATATTTATTAAGTTTATATAAGATTAAGGCTGCAATTTCACATTGTGTAAAACTTTCATCACTCATAAAATTCTCTAAATATGTTTAAATTTTCTTCAAAAATAAATCGTATATTGCCTAAAGTAGGATATAACAAAGCTAACAAGTGCTTGATGACTCTTTCTAATGGGTTAAAAAATAGACAAGTATCTTATTTATATTATTATAATTTTTCAAGTTAGTTTAAAATTGGTAAAAATTAATTTATACTTAATCATTATCAAAAAAGTAATAAGAGGATTAATTATCTTAATTATAATCCAATCATCATCTTTTGGATAAAGATCTTTAATTGATTGATAGTTAGCTGCAAGTAAACTTAAGCTAGCTTGAGATATTTTAACTGAATTAACATATAATATGTTAAGTTTTAGCAAGTTTTTACATCTAAAATTGGTTTAAGATATGTAATATTTTTTAAATTATATAAAAGGCAAAGTTCATCACAAAGATAAGTCAATTTCTTTATTTTAAATATAAGTTTTTATGCTTTTATAATTGGTTGGTTAATTAATTCTATTTCATATTTTACTTCTAAGTTAAGAATGTGAGCAATACATCAATAATATGAGAATGTTATAGTAGAAATGCTAAATTAAAACTTGAGCAATTTCTCTTTTGCATACTATCATTACAGATTTATTATCTGTCATAAGTGCAAGAATTTTATTTAAAATTTTAAATTCTTCTAATATATATGTAATTGTTTATGTAATATTAATTCTAAAATGACTTATAAAGAAGGGAATAATATCAAGAAGAAAGTTGCAAAGTTGCCAATCAGAATCTATGTAATAAATCATAAGTCTTAAAAAAGCCTCTTGATTTATTGAAGTCTACATATTAGCAGTTATTGAATATTGTTCTGGAATTTGATAAAGATTATTAATAATTTTAACTTGTTAGAAAGCAAAAGCCTCAATTATTAAGTCTTTTATTTGATGTCTTTTAGGGATGAAATATCATAGACAAAAAAATTTGATCATTGACTGAAAATATGGATTATC